AGGTTGGACGGTAACTCAAGAAAGCAGCCAGATGATGCAAAACTGAGCTTCAAGTTGCACGCACCACGAAGAATACCAGAAGTGACTGATCCTTAAATTTACATTTCTTTCAGCTCCAATTTGTAACTCTAGCCTTGCACTTGAATGTCAGAATCACATAGGTAATTTTTTTTTTTTTTTTTTTTTACTCAGAGAAAAGCTCAGTTCCTGCCCTCTGAATTCAGATTCAGATGGTATGGGGGATCCTGGGGGAGTTTTTTTTTTTTTATTCCCAAGATAATTCTGATGGACAACCATAGCAGAGAGCCACTGCTCTGAACTGTCATTCCTCCCACTCTGAACACATACTCCTCTTGACTGGCCATTCCCTGCACCCTTTCCTCTTCAGGGCTGGCACTAGATAGATCTAGGACCCAGACTGTACTGAGTCATTTTAATCTGGAATACAGCTTTTCAGGCAGACATGGCTCGGACTTGTGGCCAGGCTCCAGAGGAGGTAGGCCTTAAGATTAGAGTGGCCATGGGCCCAGGGATTTGGAGCAGATGGAGGGCAGGCTCCCCATCTTACACTTGCACTTTCAGGCTCACACTACCCTGGCTCTAGCACACACACCACCTACTTGGGGTTGAGATTCAAAGGACACAAGCAGGATGCTCTCTTCTCTGATCTCATCAGATGTGTGCCTCTGACCTGAGCTCAGCCTGGTCCGGGCCCCTGCAGGGAGCTTATGTGTGTAAGTGAGGCTGGGCTCAGAGTGCTCCCCAGGCAGGGCCAACCCGGGGAGCTCCCCACCTGGGCTTCAGATGAGCCAGCAGGAGGCAAGGCCAGGTGCTTTCGGGGAAAGCCCACAGCTGGGATGGGGCCTCTGACCTGGTCCCAGGAAGGGTTCCAGCAAGTGTGATCAGGTTCAAAAGGTGACCCAGAGACTTAGTTCTCACTAAAACCAACCGTGGGTCGAGCACCTATGGGTTGATTAAAACGTTTTGATTTTGAAGGAGAAAAATAATTTTTTCATCCGGTATGATGTTTTATGATGACGGATTTCTTTATTCTCCGTGTAATACAGTACTTTGTAACTTAAGTTAAATTAGGAAAATGAGGAACCTTCCTGCAGTTCTGGGAAGGCAGGTTGTATGTGTGTCTCTGTGTGTGTGTGTGTGTGTGTGTGTGTTCAGGTCTTCAAAGATGTCAGTGCCTCCTGGCAGAGCTGATCCATGACTATGCTGCCTTGGAGTGTTCCAGGTGGGTCTTTTTTTATCTATCTCTTTTCATGATCCAGACCTCCCGTCACAAACCTTTCAAGGAGTCTGGTGGCTGAAAAATTTTCTCAGAGACTTGATTTTGTGCACATATTGCAGCATCTTCTCTGGCAGCCTTTGGGAGGGGTCAGGATGGCAGCCTTTTTGGTAATAACTTGGGGCTCTAGCACAGTGACCTCTTGGCCAGCATCATCCAGATTAGAGCTCTCAGATGACCCAGTCACTGAAGTCTCATTGATCTCTGGTAAACTACACGTGCCCGATGAATAATAACAGCAATAATAATTACTAGCATTTATTGAATGCCTATTATGTCCTAGGCTCTGCTCTAAGATCTTTACATGTGCAAACCCAGTTAATATTTGTTATCATCGTGCGGGAAGGAAAAATGGAATTTTACACTTTGTGAATTACCCTCTCCATTTGACAGCCTGGGAAACTGAGTTTTGCCAGGTGAAGTATTTGCCCACACTTCGGTCAACTAAGGAAGAGGAGCTGGGGTCAGGGCCCCTGAATGTTTGTGACAGCACTTGAGTGCCATGGTGGGGGTGGTTGAAACATCTCCCGGGCAGAGAGGTGCGTTTTGTCACTGCCTTTGTTCGGAATTGTCAGCACGCGCTAATATAAAGTAGGCCAGTTTTAGTCAGTTTTATTTATTTTACATTTCCTAGTGTGCTGACTTTAACCACCTCCGTCGACCTTATATGATATCACCTGCTTCCCCTAAGTTCGATGAGACTGGGGCCTCTCTCATCAGCTTGGTGTTTCCCTCCATCCAAAACCATTGGCACAGTCAGAAGGAAAAAGGAGGAAGGAAACTGGTAGGTCCTCTAGAACCCAATTTAGGCTCCACCTGCACCTGATTTCCTTGCTCCTGGGCCTCTGTGCATCAAGCTGGGACACTCAGAGTTGATCTTTGAAGGCCCTCCTCGCTCTCAGAGATAGCAACAACTGTTTCACCACTCAATACTACTTCCTGGTGGCAAAGTCTGCCCAGGTGCCTCAGGTAGACACCGCGCCACCCCCTCTTCCCCACAGCTCTGGCCCGCCCCCTTAGCATGGATGCAGAGGGAGAAAAGCTGGTGGGCACTGGATTCTGGGCTAAGCAGCTACGAGAGGGAGGGAAGATGGTGAGGGGAGAAGACTCCCTTGATAGGTGTGCTGAAAAACATGGCCCAGAACTGGTTCTGCTAGATGAGGTCACCCAGAGGGAGAAGCAAAAGGGCCTGCTTCAGGCTATTTAGGGTTGGGGCACCTTTCATTCTCAGCCAGTGAGCAGATGTCTTCGGGTTTTTTCCCAAATCCGTATTACTTTTTACCCCTGCACAGATCACTGCCAGACTAAACACAGGGCATGGAGGAAAGTCTGGCCAGGGAGACAGTCAGAAAATCACTGGCCCAACCAGGACCGGACAGTCATTTCCTTTCAGCCGCTGTCCCTCAGGGCCTGCAGCATCCTTCTGTCTAGATCTGATGGCTGGGACTCTGGTCATTCCAGACTCCTCACCTGTAGGGCGCCGACACCTTGGATGTGCTCAGGAAAGAGTTGTTTGTTGAAGAGTGAACAAACCTAGCCATCTATGTAAACAACGAGAGGCCCACAGCCCTCAGCAGATGGACCTATGGGCATGGCTTGAGCCCTCTGAACTAATTCATCTTTTCTGGGTCCGCTTCCCAGCCATTGGGCCCAGCCCTTCTCCAGCAGCAGGTTGCCCTGGCTCTTGGCTGGGTTTTGAAAGCTGAAGGAGCAAAGGGAGCCTGGGGCTGGGGAATCGTGCTGGAGGCAGGCTGGGGTCCAGGGTTTGTTCCAGGCACTGACAGGATTCTCAACCAAACTCTACAGTGCACTTCCCTAGGCTTGGGGAGTTTCCCAGTACAGCTCCTACTTCCTCCCCATCACTGCCAGGTGCAGGAAGCCCACAACAGCTTCTGAGCGGTAAACTGATGACCAGAGACACTGTCTAAAGGTATGTCTCAAATTGCCCAAGCTTCCTTTTCTCTATTTCCCTGTTACTGTTGACTTCCAAGATTTCCATTCTAACCCTTATCTACTCCATAGTTCCCCACATGATTTTGCTACCTAACACTTGATTTGGAATCAACCAAAGATCTATAAATGTCTGGTGTCTATCTGGGGGACAGGAAGCTTCAGTTCAGAGTTTTCAATGCCCAGAGTACATCAAGACCTGAGACGCTGTGGCCTTTGGCAAAGGTCTTCTAGTTTGTTGCTGCTCTGTGCATATTTTGTAAATTGTCTTGTCTCTCTGCCTCAGTTTCCCCATACATGTTAACATTGTTATCATTGTGTCTTTCTCTGGTTTTAAGG